ATAAAGGACCAGGGGTTGCCGGGCCATTCGTCTGCGTCATATGCGGTTGCATTAGTCCTGCACCTCTTGAGTTTGTTTGTGTTAATTAAATATGGAATCGGCCGTTTTAAGCCAAATTTGTGATCACTCCACACTCACCGAATGCGCAAATGTTTGAATCCCTGCTTCAACTCCTTGTTAGCTTATTTGATGCCCCGGAAGCTTTCGATCGTGATTCTTTCACTTCCCTAGCACGTACCCTGTAACGACGGCCTCGATGCCCTTTCGTCCACTTTTGCCCCTACGCATACTCAGTTGTTCTTGATTCGTCAAACGGAATTTCGTGTGTTATGGGCTGTTGATCTTAATTATTCATTCAGAAACAAGCTGTCTATTGAAATGTAGTTCACAGAAGAGATGTGGTTGCCATTTTGATATATTCGTACCGGGTAGATTGACTTTGCAAGTGGTTTTAAAGTTATTTAAATTGTGCCCTTCTCTGACCTTTGAGTGGGTGGATAGGATTTTCACAAAATAAAATAAACATAAGGAATTTCGATGCCAATGCTTTGTTTCCGTGCATACCACCAGCTTGTCGACATGGCAAGATTAGCTGCATTTAAAAGCGAAATACGGGGTCGTAAAACATCGACCATTAGCTTTCAAGGACATGTTCTGTTGCTTCCCCGGTGTGAAATAGAGCGATTAGGCACACCTATGATCCAGTGATGTGCAGGTATTCACAGGCTTTCGTACGTTTGCTCACCGTTCCCGCCAGCCAATCAGGCATTTAGGCATCACCAACCCACTGTAAATGAGGTCAAGTAGGCTAATTCGACCAGAAGTTCAGAGTGGATTTCACTTATCAAAGGATGTGCGTCATAGAGTCAATATTTCAGCCGCCTGACAGAGTAAAGCCTTCCTGATGGTGTTTTCCACGTTCTCCTCCTAAGTGGTACTTAACTTACCATAAATGTACGAAACGTGCTGCCGATTACAGATCTCCATTTCTTAAACGACTGTCCCCCAACTGTATAAGGAACAAATAATAAGATTAAAGCTGAATCTAGCGACCATTCTATTAAATTCTTTCCGGTTTCTACTTATAAAGAAAGAGTAGGAAGTTTGTTCACCAAGGTGTAAGATGAAAAGATCCTTAATAGAATATGATTTCGCTTTTGTATAATGTTACCATTGAATGTGACTCCTTAAGCCTAATGTAATCTGTAAGAACAACGCTTATTGGTGTATTGCTGGTGCATTCAATGGTCTAACTTTATTGCGAAACTGAATACGCGCGATCACGATTTAGATCGAAACGCCAACCTAAAGCGGCCCTATGAGGTTGCGTACTGACAGACAATAAAACGTGGAGAACTGACAGGGACAAGCAGATACTGGAGTGACCAGTTCTGGTCTACCTTCCGCCATCAGCGGCTCATGCCATTACCTCATGCCGGGCAGACCTGGAATTTGGACACAGTTCAGGTAGTTATCGAGCGTTTTGATCAAACTCGTTACAGTAGGTGGGCTAATACATGAAATGTCAACCGAAATTCAAAAAAACGTTTTCGTTTCGAAAAGATTAATTAAGTGGGGTAATAAGACAAATCATCCTGCAGCATAATTCTATAGTAATTCAGTTACCTCAGGATGTCGGATTTTACATGAACTTCTTTTCCACTGCATGCAGAAACTAAATTTTGTAAAAAACATGACTACTTACGTAGCATACATTTTTCTCGCTGATTTTCAATACCCTTAATAATTCAACCATATTTCATGGAAAACGTGCGTCAAATATTCATTCTTTTGTTCATTTCGTAGAAAAGTACGTCTGCTTTTATTTTATACTCGAAGAATGGGTATGATTCTGTTTTGAAAAAGTTTCTTATTGTAAGATTTCTTAATATCGTTAAATGGCCGTCCAGAAAACGTCATGTCCCTGCATTTATCAATGCGGTTTTTAAAGCTAACAGCATGGCTCAAATCCACCGCTAAATTTCATGAACCCCATGTATTCTCCTCTTAATACCGTAGACAAACGTATGGTTTTCCGTACACGGAAAGTATGCGGCCTGTAGTTTGAAAACCCTGAGTGAAGGTGTAACGGTAGGTTGGGTTCAAAGTTATTCGGGAATTAGAAAAGTTTTGAAACCGAATTACCCTTCCCTCCAGTATATAATTGGAAGAAGATGTAGTTTTCTACCGAATGAGTGAAAGAATGGATACTTTTATGCGGGTTTTCCATGAAATATAATTGAATTTTAAGGGCATCGAAAATCAACCAGAAAAATGCATGTTACTTAAGTAGTCATTTTTGCAAAGTATATTGCTTGCATGCAGTCGAAAATAAGTCGGTTTGAAAGCCGACACCCTGAGGTAACTGAATTACTATAGAATTGTGATGCAGAATGATTAGTTTTACAACTCTACCTAATTAATCTTTTCAAAACGAGAACGCATTTCACAATTTCGGTCGATCTACTGTACCAGTTGAGCTGCGGACCACATCCTGCTGATTGCGGTTAGAAATTTTGAAAATCACTTCTTCCATGTTCTCATCAATATCACTTTCTGGTCACCGATTTCTCGTCCTTGCGTGACTGACTGTAGGCTGTAGCCCCAAGTCCAAGAGGAGTCATCCGTACTCTCTTCTATAGTCTGGCAGAATGGATGAACACCACCCTTAGGCTAATTTGAATGTTTCCGATCGTGACCGATATAATTGGGTCAGGAGATTAGGTGGTAGAAAGTCTACTTCAACTTGCCATACTACCATTTAACCGCCGATTATTTAGTACTTCTTCACGGCCTGGGGTATCATTGATTTTAATGGTGGCGGCGACTGTCTCCGCCTTGGCCGTTCTCGGCTCTTTTGACTTTGCATCTGATAATTCTCCCCTTTAAATTATTTTACATGAAAACTAGATTGATACGTATTGGAATATGCTTCGCCCAAACGATAAGTCATCCCACCAGCAATTTGGGCCTCTTTATCTGGTGGGACGTTTATTTCCCCTGAATGTCAACCTGCCTGATGAAGGCAGTTGGGAAATTATAGAGTTGTATGGAGGAATTCGTGCAAATGTTAATCGTTGCCTTTTCCGTCGTAGCAACTCGACTCTGCAGTTAATCTCTTTCCTACCAATTATTAATCTTAGCATGTTTTCTAGCTCTGAGCCCTTTCGGTGACAGAAATGAACGCAGTCGTATGTGACGGTTGCGATATACATATGCGGAATAGCATTACCAACAAAGACAAGATACATATGGTAAACGTATTATACCGTACTCCCGACATAGGCATTAACTAAAAGCCCAGACACGTGTTTCGTCGACGTTCTGCCGCTGCGTGACACAGCTGTGAGTGGTTCGGCACTTCAATGGGACCCCCAGCGTCTTATTTGCGGTTTCCGGTATCTGAACTTCAGAGGAGAATCAAGCGAATAATTTCAGAAATTGTTCAGTGCAGGATATGTAGTTAAGTCTCCGAGACATGACTTTGTAGGTTCAGAAGCGAAATTTCAAAGAAAATTTGAGTCGAAGCCAATCAACTACTGTTGAACAATCACATGATGTCCATTCTACAAACCAGTAGTATGAAATGCATATGGCAAATGTATTACAACGTACTCCTGACATAGGAACTATATCTACCAACCGTCGTGCGGCTCTTCTCGCTGCCGATCAAGCCCTTCGGGCGCAGCTCAGTGAACAAATGAGCAAATACGAACCCAGGCTAACCATAAATCCAAACATGAGCGAGTCCATGGTGGATACACGCTCAACCGTACCTCAACCTGAGTCCGACGAAGGCGCGGTCGTCACAACAGACGTGCCTCCCACGAATTCTACGCAAAATTGTATTACTTAAACAGCTATTTTGTATTTTCATTTGGGTAAAAGCCAATTGTTAGTAATTTAGTGTTTTCGCCGGTGCACGTGGACCGGTTTCCGATTGATTACAAAGGCCAGAATATAGCAAGCGCATCTATAAACTAATGGCGTCTCTGGGATGGTCTCCCGTCTCGTAAGGTCGCTGGGGATCGCCATCGCCCACCAGCCGGAGTCAACAATTCGACATCTGGTCATCAGACCTAAAGCCCCCCGTCCACGGTGCAAAACCGCGAACGCCATCTATCGGGTCCACTGTAACCTCTGCGAAGTTAACTGCATTTGATAAACCAACAGACGACTACGGAACTGCAATCGACGCCTGGCACACGGGTCCAACCTCAATCACCCGTTGTTTGGATCCTTCTGCAACCTATCAAACTCTCCAGACGCAGCTCAATGAACAAAAGAGCAAACGCGAACCTAGACCAAACATGGATCCAAGCATAAGCGAGTCCATGGCGGACACGCACGTTGCTACACCACAACCCGAATCTGACGATGGCCGTATTATCCACTAATCCGGCAGACAAGAAGACAGAAAGTCGTGGCAGCGTAAACAAGACTGCCAGCCTTAGACGACAGCTAATGCCATTGAAGGTACGAACGACGACCTCCAACGTCTCAGCGCCGGCCCCCGGTGTAGATTGAGTACATTCCGTCATCCTCCCTCCCCCCTGTCCGCCACAGTCCCTGTGTGCGTGCGGACGGTGACTACTAAAGCTGATACACCATCCCCTCATCCGGCGATAAGAGGCTCTAGGACTCCATCACCCCCCTTTCCTCCCTGCCGCCCTGAGTGCATATGTAAAACCCGTCTTAACATGACTGTCACCCACCTATTCATGCTGAGGCGCGATATCACACTCGCCTCCGAAGATGGAAGTTTGCTTACTTTTGAAACGTCAATGCAGTAAAACTATGGTTTCCAAGATCGCCTTTTCATCTCATTTATGTCCGGAGAGGCGCATCTTCTCTTTTATTAGCTATATATATAGCACTGGTGACAAAAATAAACAAGAACCTGAGTCTAATGAGAAACCAACAGGCAATATCTCAGGACGATTGGCGACAGATGAAATCCCAAGATGATGCTATAGCACGCCTTCCATGGACTGCCAAAGATGCACAAGCCAAACGTTCCCTTGCGGCCAGTTGTGGCGCTGAAAGGCTCACCTACCTACGCTCTGGCTAAATGGCTTACCAAACCTCCGAAGAAGCTGACGGAGGACTCAGAACACACAGCTGTATCCCCAACAAATTTCCTGGAAAGTCTCCTAGGCATCAAAATAGCCCCCGAGGAAATAATGGTGTCCTTCAACGTCGTCTCTCTTTTCACCTCCATCCCTAGAGAATTAGCCACGGAGTAAGTGATCAACTAGAGAGGACGTACAATGAAGAGGAAAAATCTCTGAAAAAGAAGCACATAATGGAGCTACTGGACTACTGTTTGAGCACGTACATTACGTTTAATGGTCAGGTGTACGAGCAAATCCAGGGAACTCCGATGGGATCACCAATATTTGGCTACCCAGCTGAGGCGGTTCTACAAAAACTGGAAACACGAGGGTTTCAGCCCTACATGCCAAAATTCTGGGTGCGCTACGTAGATGACACCTTTCTCATTCTACCTCGAGACGTGAAAGAGAACTTCAAAAGGTCATTGAACTCAACTTTTCCCCAAATTCAATTCACAGTAGAGGAAGGAAAGGACGGAGAAATCCCTTTCTGAGTGTCCAGGTGTCGAGACAGGAAGACGAAGTCCTCCAGACTGGTGTCTTTTGAAAGGCGACTGATACGGCGAAAATCCTCTATTACAGCAGTAACCACCATTTGTCACATAAACGCAGTTGCGTGCGGACACACTTCCTGCGCACCAAAACACACTGCAGAACAGAGGCTAAAAAGCTGCGAGTGCGTAAATCCCTATGGCGTCTCTTTCTCTCCAACGGGTACACACGTAGCTTCAAAGCAAATGCCTGTATCAAAAGCACACGGAGACCGACGGTGAACAAAAACAAAAGCTGAAATCTTCCGTGTTTTACCCTACGTCAGTGACGTTTGCGAAGCCACTAAACGCATGCTCAGACCACTCTACGTGGGCCTTGGACATCGGCCGCCGCTTGCTCATGCAGCCCAAGGGGTGGCTACCACCCGAGGACACGTCAGGAATTGTTTACCACATCAACTGTCTAGATTGTCCAGCCAACTATTGTGGCATGACCGACAAACGATTAAGGTCGCGCATGCATGAGCATTCTCTAGCTGTAGAGCGAAAAGATGCACGATCACATGTTGTTATGCCTAGCCTCGAAAATAACCATCAATTCGGCTTCGACAAGGCGGAAGTAATCGGCCGAGCTGAAAGCAAAATGGCCGGAGAGATAATCGAAGCCAGCAATAGAACGCCAACTCAATCAACCGTAGGAGCGATCTATCGGCGGCATACGAGGCCGCCAGACACCACTTAGGCAGGAAAGGAGGGCCACTTAGAAGGGAGGACAATGAGCCTATCAGTAGTGAGTAAGAAAGACCTATTTAAACCTTGTATTCCCACTTTTAGTCTACCTCCGATGATGTGCTCTAGTATGGGTGTGAAACGTCAGATGAATAAAGCATACTCCCCAGAGATCTCTTCACGTTCTTCCATATATATACACGGTGAGCCACAGTTTGGACCCACAACATCTATCCTCACCTCCCGCAGCCATCACAACACAATGCACACCTCCCCCTCACAAGGTCGTCTGCTTACCTCTCTGTCTGCGTCCTCAACCAGCAGTGTGACAATGCCACCTCTCACTTTTCACTTTGTCTGACGACGGGTTGGTGCAACCAGCTCGAAAATTTACGAGTAAAACTCTATTTCCGACGGACTTCCTTCTTTCATCATATCATCTCGGAATGCATACCACTTCAGTTATTCATCATATATATATATATATCACTAGTCGCTGTGCGACTGCCTGCGAGGGTTCTAGTATGAGCCCCAAGGCACAACGGAACGAGCATGTTCCGTAACCTGATTGGTGAGCGCCCATCTGTCATAATTGATATTCCCGATCACAACCGACAGGACAACGGGCCCATGGCTCAATGGTAGAGCGTCAAACTCCATGACCAAAGATCCCGGGTTCGAATCTCAAGTGATCCACACTTAAGGTTGGGTATGACTGGCTGATGACGGCTAATAAGCGAGAAATGGCCATTTCGGTCTCCCTTGTCTTTGTCGGTATCATCTCATCTATATACATATATATATGATGTTAGGGGGCGCTCACCGATCGTTCATACGGAACTCACTCATTCCGTTGTGCCTTAAGGGCTCTCTCTCGAACCCAACCAGCAGCCGCCCAGTGGCGCATGATATATAGGTATTGACTTCTAAACCAACAGGTCGCGAGTTCGAGGCTCGGGTGTTCCACACTTCGGACTTGGGTATGACTGGCTTATTCTGCCTTCATTCAGCCAATCATAACCCTGACCACCAGCAGCTGAGACCAGAAACACAAACATGCTCACAGACGCACCTGGCGCAGTCGGTTCACCACTGAGGCCTACCAGATGGGTCATAAGCACTTCATCGAACCGAAGTTCATCAATGCCTCGCCACCTGTCATTCTCTGTCGCTGCAGATCGGGTATTTATTCAATCAGGAATGGGCGCACACCGATCTATTGGCTTCACAAAGCAAACAAGCTCCGTATGTGTGGCAAAGGTCACGAACAGGCAACCAATTACCAGGCGGAAATCGGCCAAGTCATAATAGCAGCGAGGAGGGACGACAGAGAATGCGGGTAGATTGATACAGTACTGTTTCGGGCTTATTGTGCCTTCATTCAGCCAATCATAACCCTGACCACCAGCAGCTGGGACCAGAAACACAAACATGCGCATAGACGCACCTGGCGCAGTTGATCCACCACTGGGGTCTACCAGATGGGTCATAAGCACTTCATCGAACCGAAGTTCATCAATGCCTCGCCACCTGTCATTTTCTGTCGCTGCAGATCGGGTATTTATTCAATCAGGAAAGGGCGCACACCGATCTATTGACTTCACGTATCTGACGGTTCACGCTTGTGCTCGAGGGCACCGTCGGAGATAAGCAAACATGGGAAGCATATGGTTGAAACGGGTCTTTCTTACTGAGTGCCGCAATGCTCATCGCTCTCCCTCTCTCTTTTTCCATTGGTTCTCCACTCTTGCTAAAGTGGCGCCTGACGGCCTCACATTGCGCTGATAGACCGATAATACGGTTGATGAAACTGGGGTAGGATTGCCAGACCTCGGTTTACTCCTCCACCAGTTTGCTTTCGGCCCGGCCGAGAACCTCAGCACTGTCAAAGTCGAACCGATGATGTCCCATAACCTAACTGGTGAGCGCCCTTTAAACATAATTAGCGTTCTCGACCACAAGCGAAAGTGCCGAGTCCGTGACCCAATGGTTAAAATGTTGAACTAAGTACAGCTCGATAACCAGAGAATTGGAGCTTGAACCCCAAATTCTGCAAAGACCTAGGGTTTGTCATGATTGGCTGACGACGGACAATAAACGCGAATCAGGCATTTCACTCTCCCTTGCCTTTTTCGGTAGCCCCTTATCTACATATTTGTTATATATGGACGCTCATTGATGAGTTTACAGGAAATGCTCGTCTATTTGCACCTTGCGGTCCAGTCTGGAGTCCTCACAGGCGGCCGCACAGCGACTAGTGGGGGTTCTGGAAAAGTCAAGGATGATTGGGATGCCATTTCTCGCTTATAAGCCGTCGTCAGCCAGCCTCTCACAAGCCCGGGCTTTGGCTGTATCTGGGCCTTTAATCCGCAATCTTTGGTCATCAGTGTTAGTACGTCCAACACTCTTAACCATTGAGCGCCCATCTCGTTACCCTGTTGGTTGCGATCGAGGGTATTAACTTGTGCTGGAAATACATTCGCCGATCGGATTACGGGAGCTGCTCCTCCCTTTGCCCCTGGGGCTTAATTTAGAGCGTTTACAGGCAGCCGCAAAGCGGACAGGAATAGATGCAAAGGAAGCTTGCGACAAATACAAGGGAGGAAATTACCGTTCTTCAAGTTTTTCACAATAAAATTTGATCGTATGGAAAATAATGCCGATTGATCTCTAGGGAAACGTATATGGTTACGAAGTCTTTCATGTGGTGCACTGTTAGTTTTTTAGCATGCTTTGGGACGTAATACAGATCAGTCATTGTCGACCCTGATTTTGATTGTCACATTGGCTGCGTGATTCGTCGCGGATTCTGAGCTGCGACCGTCGAGTCCTGCATGCGCTACAGGTTTTGACCGTCCGTCAAATCGGGCGATATCAACTTGATCACCCATTCGGCCATTCCTACTGCATTCATGTGACCATAGACAACATGAACCGAAGTTTCTTACTCTTCTCAAAGAACTCAGAGTGTTGTTTAAGAGGTTGACATTCCCGACGGTCCTTTCAGCATTGTTCACTCAGATTGGATTTGGGCTTGCTTTCAGGCTCCTTTTTGGAGCCTTTTGGGGCATTGCAAGCCCTTCCCGAATGCCAACTTACAGCTTACAGCGGCCTTAGCTAAACTGCATCCTTTTGTACAGCATGATCAAGCACAGTTTCCCTGGAAACGCCATATTTCATAGACTTCTGAAAAAAAAAGCACAGGCGTCAGTGTGGTCGATGGTGTACATGACAGCTTAGCAAAAACCGGAAAACGGAAGTCTACATAATCACCCTGTTTGGGATATGTAGCCTGAGGAATCCCTGCGCGAATCTTGGACTAAAAACCCATGGCGTTTTTCATGCTCGTCAAGTGTCTTACCGAATAAATCATCCGTCAGCAGTTGAAATCATGGATTTCTGTGTCAAGATTTTTGCTGATTACTGGTTGTTTATCATTTAAAAAGTTTGCAAGACACGGGAAGAGAAATTCCTGTATTACCGGGGCCTTGTACGTATTTCCAGCGATAGTAGGCTCAACTTTAAGGTAAGGGCTAAGGTTAGGGCTAAGACATGGGAATATCTTCACTTCAGGGAATTTTGTGCAAGACTACCTGCATTATCGAGTGGGAAAGTGTTTCATTCCCTTGTCTTACCAAAGAGTCAGTCTGGCTTTTTTGTCATAATAAGTTGCTCCTTTTATTTGCTTTGCAAAAAGTGCCATTTAAGATCGGTCGCGAGGGTGTAAACCTACCCCATACTACCGGTAACCTAGCGCCAAATTCCAAGGGAGGTGCCTATTTCCGTGTCCAAATTTTAACCCCGACCCTAACACTGTCATAACTCTAACCCCCACATTAATACTCACCCTAAACAACAGGTGTTTTGGCAGATTTTGAATAATTCATTTTGACTCAATTGTGAAAAACTCGACGATCTCTGCTGGACGGGTAAGCTGACCAAAAGGTGATTGAACTCACCGCTCCGAGTAGGGCCTCGTACCTCAGATGGCCACAGCGTTGGCTGTACTCAAGCCTTACCCCTGCTGTCTTGGATTCGAATCCCACCGTCACTGTGTTCTTCACAGTTGGGTCACAATGAACTAACCCTCGCATTAACCCCCCGCCTGGAATTTGGAGCAAGACCCCTTACAACCCGAGGGTCCATATGCTCCCTGCCCAACGCAATTCAAAACCTGTTGCCATCTCGGACAAAACACCCACAATGTTGGCAGCATTGCAAACCATTGACTTGGACCGAGTTATCGATCGACGGCGCGCTGGCGACGCGTGACGGGCTGAGTTGCCCACGGTGCTGTCTGTGCGGGGTGTAGGGGTGTCAGCGGTGGGTCCACGTGATGGTCGTAGTGGTCGCTCACATGCTTGCAGGTGAGACTACGCCTAGCGTCCATTTGCTGGCACCTAACTCTCACCTGTGGCTCCACGTAGCTGGGCTCTGCTCAGCGGCCACACCCCGGGCAACCGTCTCGACCGGCGGGCTAAACCAGGTGAGGGTATCCGTGCGTGCACCTGCACGCGCGGTACTGTGGTCTGCGCTGGCCGGATGGATCTTCGCGTCGACATCGTCGAGACGAGGCTCTGCCTGGACCATCGCAGGAGGCCACCAGGTAAGTTCTTCCTCAGGTCAGTGCATTTGCTCTGTTTCTTCCTTTTGTCTGTTGAAGTACCGTGTCGTATGCTGCTCTTGCTGCCTGCCCTCTGTATGCTAGTCTGCCTGTTAATAGCTAGACGAAACCCTCGCTGCCTGCTGCGACTGTCTGTCTGTCAGTATATGTCTCTCTCTGCTAATAGCTAGGTTTTACGGTGCTTGACACTTGACTGGTGCGCTCTCACTTCTGTCTCTGACTGATGGCTGTGTCTATTTGTCCACTCTAGCTAGCTGTAAGTCCCAAAGCGTTAGGTTGTGTGTATGCTCTCCTACTTCACTCCATCACATCACCATCATCACCAAGGTCCCAGGATAATTCGGGTCGTTCTCTCACTAACAAAAAGTCGTGGCCCATAGTGGAGTCCGGCAGCCGTCTGGGATAACCGGGCAGCCCTGTTCAGGGATGCGTTGCCTGCCCCCGCGAGGGGGAGGGGGGTAGAAAAGGTGCCCTAAAGATCGCTGGGAACCACGCTGTCTGTAGGCTGGCCGTGGCCGCAGACAAAAAACACACGGTCGAAACAGCCAAAACCGAAACAACAACAATCACTCTCTTCCTCTCCCAGCCTATTCTTCTTCTTCTCCTACTCCTACTTTTCGCCACCGCAGTCACCAGACTGGCAGGGTGAGCCCGCTCACCCTGGCAGCCTGGAATGTTCGTTCCCTTTTAGACAATTCGAGGAGCAACCGACCGGAACGGATGATGGCGCTAGTGGCACGAGAACTGGCGCGCTACAAGGTAGACATCGCCGCCCTCAGCGAGACCCGATTCTCCGAACAAGGCCAACTGGAGGAGGTGGGTGCCGGTTACACCTTCTTCTGGAGTGGTTGACCCAAGGCAGAGCGACGAGACGCGGGTGTCGCCTTCGCCATCCGGAACGACATCGTGGGACGACTGCCCAGCCTGCCGCAGGGCATCAACGATCGCCTGATGAGCCTCCGCCTGCCTCTCTGGGGAGGCAAATTCGCCACCATCATCAGCGCCTACGTTCCGCCGATGACCAGCCCCGACGCCGCCGCAAGAGACAAATTCTACGAGGACCTGCACGCCCTCTTGGCGACTGTGTCGAAGGCGGACAAGTTGATTGTCCTTGGTGACTTCAACGCCCGCGTCGGCACAGACCATACTGCCTGGAGAGGAGTGCTGGGTACCCACGGTCTCCGCGGCTCAAACGACAACGGCCTGCTGCTCCTCCGCACCTGCACAGAACACCGCCTCATCCTGACGAACACGTTCTTCTGTCTGCCGGAGCGAGAGAAGGCCACCTGGAGGCATCCTCGGTCGCGTCAGTGGCACCTGCTGGACTATGTCCTCGTCCGAAGGCATGACCAGCAAGACGTGCTGGTGACAAAGGCGATCGCGGGTGCTGACGGGTGGACCGACCATCGCCTCGTCATCTCGAAGATGCGTATTCGCCTACAGCCTCGCAGGAGACCACAAGGTAAGCTGAATGTTGCTTTGTTGTCTTTGCCCGCTCACCGTCTTCATTTCAGCAATGAGCTAGCTCAACAGCTAGACAACCTTCCAATCGCTGCCACCGCCTACGACGCCGCCGCCGCCGCTGCCGAGAACGCCTCCGTGGAGAACCGCTGGTGTCAACTGCGAGACACGGTCCAGTCGACGGTGCTCGCCGTCCTCGGTCGCGCTCCCCGTCAACACCAGGACTGGTTCGACGACAACGACGCCGCAATCAGAAATCTGCTTGCTGAGAAGAACCGCCTACACAAAGCCTACGTAGATCACCCCACTGAGGACAACAAAGCTGCCTTCTACCGCAGTCGCCGCCAACTTCATCAACGTCTGCGCGAGATGCAGGACGCTTGGACTGCTCGCAAAGCTGAGGAGATCCAAGGCTATGCGGACCGCAACGAATGGAAGAACTTCTTCTCTGCGATCAAAGCTGTCTACGGTCTGCCGACGAAGGGCACTGCTCCCCTCCTCAGCGCCGACGGCAGCACTCTCCTGACTGAGAAGACGCAAATCCTACAGCGATGGGCCGAACATTTTCGAGGCGTTCTCAACCGCCCCTCCGTCATCTCCGACGCCGCCATCGAGCGTTTGCCGCAAGTGGAGACCAATGTAGACCTCGACCTCCCGCCATCTCTCCAGGAGACCATCAGGGTCGTGCAGCAGCTCTCCAGCGGGAAAGCACCCGGATCGGACGCAATCCCTGCTGAGGTCTACAAGCAGGGAGGTTCCAACTGCTGGATCACCTGACTGCGCTCTTCCAGGAGATGTGGCGTCAAGGCGAAGTCCCGTGCACGAACTCCTCTTCGCCGACGACCGCGCCCTGAACACCACCTCGGAAGAGGAGATGCAACGGAGCATGGATCTATTCTCCGCCGCCTGCGAGAACTTCGGTCTGGTCATTAACACGCAGAAGACGGTGGTGATGCACCAACCGCCACCCAACTCAGCCACAGCCCCCAACGCGCCGCCGCAAATCAGCGTGAATGGGACCCAACTGCAAGTGGTGGAGAAATTCCCGTACCTGGGCAGTATCCTCTCCCGGAACACCAAGATCGATGACGAAGTCGCCAACAGAATCTCGAAAGCCAGTCAAGCCTTCGGTCACCTCCAAAGCACAGTTTGGAATCGCCACGGTTTTCAACTGAACACGAAGCTGAGGATGTACAAAGCCGTCATCCTGCCAACGCTACTTTACGGAGCAGAGACGTGGACGGTGTACACGAGGCAGGCACGTCGTCTGAACCACTTCCACCTCAGTTGTCTCCGTCGCATCCTGAGGCTGAACTGACAGGATCGAATCCCCGACACTGATGTGCTAGAACGTACGGGAATCCTCAGCATCTACTCCATGCTGAGACAAATGCAGTTGCGCTGGAGCGGCCACCTGGTGCGCATGGACGACGAGCGACTACCCAAAGGACTTCTACGGAGACGTCGCGACGGGTTCTCGTCGTCAAGGAGGCCAAATTCGCCGTTACAAGGATACTCTGAAGTCCTCCCTGAAGCGTCTGCAAATCAACCCGACCAACTGGGAAGAGCTCGCCCGCGATCGTCCGACATGGAGGAGAACAGTGAAGATGGGCGCTGCTCTCCACGAAGCCAACCGCATAGCCGCCGCCAAAACGAAACTCGAAGCCCGCAAATCACAACTTCGTCCAGTACGCAACGCCGCCGCACAACCGCTTTCAACGTGTCCTCGATGTCAACGGACATTCCGGACTCGAATCGGAATTGTTGGACATCTTCGGATTAACTGCGCCTCTCGAACTGCTCCAACCATCGTCCCCCCGCCCGCCTCTTCCTCCCCGCCGCCGCCGCCAACTAACTCTGACAATTCTTCTGAACCACCACTTCCATCCTTCTTCTCCTCCTCCTCCTCCTCCTCCTCCTCCTTCCCCACTGCCCCAGCGGCGGCCGTCTCGCACATCAACCCCGACACAACAACCGACACCACCCCCACCTCTCCCGATTTCAGTGATGAGGATCAGGACTACACTTGCCCTCACTGCGATCGTACCTTCACCTCACGCATCGGCCTGGTCGGTCACTTGCGAATCCATCGCACAGAGACTGGCGAGCCAGTGCCTGGAGCACCAACCTACACCCACCGCACTCGCCTCCACTGCCTACACTGCCCTCGCACCTTCACTCACCGCATGGGTCTATTCGGCCACATGCGCATCCACGAGAGCGGATCTGACCGCAACCTCGACACACCCACCCGCCGAGCCCCACTCCCAATTCATCACCTTGCGCACCCACCAACCACTCCTCAACCGACATCGACGCCACCGAATCTACCACTCCTCACTCCTCCCCGTCCTCCTCCTCTTCCTCCTTCACTGCCACAACGACGGCCACTCCGGCGTCTGTAGCGCACGACTTCACCACAGCCGCACCTGACACAACAACAGGCACAACCCCTGCAACCTCCATCATCAGAGGTGCGGTCCAGGACTACATCTGCCCTCACTGCGATCGCACCTTCACTGCCCGCATCGGCCTGGTCGGTCACTTGCGAATCCATCGCACAGAGACTGGCGAACCAGTGCCTGAAGCACCCACCTATATCCACCAAGCTCGTCTCAACTGCCCACACTGCCCTCGCACTTTCAGGCATCGCATGGGTCTATTCGGTCACATGCGCATCCACGACGACCTGCGGTAGAAAACCGCCGTTTAAAACCACACATTCACACATTCCATACCCTCCTCCACCATCACCACTACGCATCAACACTCACCCACCGCATGCACCCAATTGCCACATCCCACGCAAGTGGGAAGTGTGCATCTCGACTCGGTCCTCATGCGGCTTTGGCTGCAGGAGTGACCTGAGTCCGAGACTATCCCGACACGTCAAGCGTCGTGGATAGGAAGGTTGCTGATTGACGCCCGCTCTCGGTTCACACAGTCCGTTGTGTGTGTGTGTGTGTGTGTGTGTGTGTGATGTTGGTTGGTGTGTTGGTGTTGGTGATGTGTGAGACAGCAGTCTAAACGGCCGCCGCTGGGGCAGTGGAGGAGAAGGAGGATGGAAGTGGTGATGCAGAAGGAATGTCAGAGTTAGTTGGCGGAAGAGAGGAGGAAGAGGCGGGCGGGGGGACGATGGCTGGAGCAGTTCGAGAGGTGCAGTGGATCCGAAGATGTCCAACAAGTCCGATTCGTGCCCGGAATGTCCGGTGGCATCGAGGACACGTAGGGAGAGGTTGTGCGGCGGCGTTGCGGACTGGGCGAACTTGTGATTTGCGGGCTTCGCGTTTCGCTTTGGCGGCGGCGATTCGGTTGGCTTCATAGATAGCAGCGCCCGTCTTCACTGTTCTCCTCCATGTCGGACGATCGCGAGCGAGCTCTTCCCAGTTGGTCGGGTTGATTTGCAGGCGCTTCAGGGAGGACTTCAGAGTATCCTTGTAACGGCGAATTTGGCCTCCTTGACGACGAGAACCCGTCGCGACGTCTCCGTAGAAGAGTCGTTTGGGTAGTCGCTCGTCGTCCATGCGCACCAGGTGGCCGCTCCAGCGCAGCTGCATTTGTTTCAGTATGGCGTAAATGCTGAGGATACCCGTTCGTTCCAGTACTTCCGTGTCGGGGATGCGGTCCTGCCAGTTCAGCCTCAGGATGCGACGCAGACAAATGAGGTGGAAGTGGTTCAGTCGGCGTGCCTGTCTCGTGCACACCGTCCATGTCTCTGCTCCGTACAGTAACGTCGGCAGGATGACGGCCTTGTACATCTTCAGCTTTGTGCTCAGTTGGAGACCATGACGATTCCAAACTGTGCTGTGGAGGCGACCGAAGGCTTGACTGGCTTTCGAGATCCTGTTGGCGACTTCGTCATCAATCTTGGTGTTGTGGGAGAGGGTACTGCCCAGATACGGGAAGTTCTCTACCACTTGCAGTTGATTTCCGTTCACGCTGATTTGCGGCGGCGCGTTGGGGGCTGTGGCTGAGTTGGGCGGCGGTTGGTGCATCACCACCGTCTTCTGCGTGTTAATGACCAGCCCAAAGTTCTCGCAGGCGGCGGAGAATAGGTCCATGCTCCGTTGCATCTCCTCTTCCGAGGTGGTGTTCAGGGCGCAGTCGTCGGCGAAGAGGAGTTCGTGCTCGGTAGTTGTGGATACGCGCGATTGGAAGTTCATGCGCCGGTGATTCAGCAGATGACCGTCCGTTCTGTAGGCGATGCGGATTCCAGGGCGTTCGTCGCGGTAGGCGTCCATCAGCATGGCAGAGAACATAAGACTGAAGAGGGTTGGTGCCAGCACGCATCCCTGCTTCACTCCGTTGGTCACTGCGAATGCCTCTGAGACAGCTCCGTTGTCCGTGACTCGCGCCATCATACCGTCGTGCAGCTGACGCACCATCTGAGTGAATCGCTCCGGACAGCCGAATTTCTGCATGATCTTCCACAGTCCTTCACGATTCACCGTGTCGAAGGCTTTCGTCAGGTCCACGAAGGTAGAGTACAGGTGGGT